GAGAGAGAGAGAGAGAGAGAGAGAGAGAGAGAGAGAGAGAGAGAGAGAGAGAGAGAGAGAGAGAGAGAGTTGAAGGACACCACATCCATGCAGGGTTGAGGTGAAAGTTAGACCAGTATGGATCCACTCTTGTACACTTTGTCATGGCTGTAGTGGTTAAGAAGCTCGGCCCTTGAGGCCGAGGGCGCGGGTTCGGAGGAGGTCCGAGGCTGATAAAAGTGCGGACAGACTGTTGCATGTGAACATTGTGAAGCACGGTTTCTAAATTAATAGATGGGCTCAAGAAAAAGGAAAAAAGGCTCCTTTTGAAGTTACATTCACCCATCCCATGTCCGCATGCATTCAACGGTTGATCCGTAAATCCACTTTATGTAGAAAAAGATGAAGGAAACAAAATAAAAGGGAGGTAGGAGGAAGAAAGAGTAGATATGAAAAATAAGCAAAAGAAGCGATAGGAGAGGAGGAGGGGAAGGAGAAGGAGAAGGAGAAGGAGAAGGAGAATGAGAAGGAGGCGGCGGCGGAGGAGGAGACAAACAATGAGAGAAGAAATATGGATGAAAGCAGGGAAAGAGAACAAGGAGAAAAGAGAGCTGAAATAGGCAAACAAGAAGTGGGCTGCGACAGCCCACTTAGACTTATGGTTAGGTGTTAGCCATCCAAGCCTTTGGTTGTGTGTTCGAGTCTTGTATTCGACATGCGCACACAAGAAGAACACTGGCGGAAGAGGGATTCGAACCCCTGATGTGGTGCTCCCCAGATAGCACTGGAGCCCATGGAAAGAATGAGACAGTGGGGAAGAAGGTGGAGAAGGGGAGGAGCTCATAATAGCCTTGTACAGGGTGAAAACCCCAGAGTATGAGGGCATATTACATACTACAGTCTTCCCCCGAACAAAAGCCACGCGTGTTGTATATGAATACAACACACAGGGTGCGTGCGTTGTATTCGTATACAACGCACATGCGTAATTCTATGGATTCGTATACAACGCACGTGCGGAATGCTACGGATTTGTATACAACACATGTACGCGCGTAATGCTACGGATTCGTGTACAATGCACGTGCGTAATGCTACGGATTCGTATACAACGCACGTGCGTAATGCTACGGATTCGTATACAACACACGTGCGTAATGCTACGGATTTTGGGCACTAACTTCGGAAAAGCACCCCCCCCCCTCCCCCTGCCCCCCCCAAAGCCAGTATATGCCGATACCTTTGCATGAATCAAGAAAAAACAAGCAAACACAAGGCCCGATGCCGGGGCCCTCTGGCCGCTGCTCACCAAATGTACAAAATGTTAATGAATCTTATGCCAGGAAATGGACATATGCATCGCCGCATGTTTTTGTCTATTGTGCATGTGGAGAGCAGTGGATACCATTCGAACAGTCAGCCTCGCTACTCGCTGAGAGTTACATTCGAACAGTGATGCAATCTTGGATTGCCATCGCCATCACCCGTGGGCGCAGCGTGAGAGAGAAGGGGCGAGGCACTCTGAATATGAGTGTGGCACTGCAGGCGGGCACGCGCGCGCCACACACACACACACACACACACACACACACACACACACACACACACA